CCTGTGCGACGAAAGTGGACAGACATTTATTTTGCATAATGTGAAAGATATGAAAAACTTGATGGTTATGCCGGAGCCGTCGCTTATCCTGAAAATAATGGGCAAAATATTTCAGTTTGATATATACGTCGATTTACTGGCGCTATCGTCTTCACACAAATACGTTTTATACGATGTAAGTAGTGGTGAGTTGACCCAAATCGGCAAACGCACCATTAGGTCGGATGGACAGTACGGCATCTGCTTCTTCCACAAGCCTGTGATGGCAAACGACAGTCATATCTATAATTGTATTTTCTGTTCGCGTCCCAAATCGCGTCTTTGGGAATGCGATCTCAAAGGCACCGTTAGGTTCACTCATATATTCAAAGAGTTGCTCATCAATCACACGCCACAACAGATCATTAACGGCACAGATATTGACGGTGGATGTGTGGGCACAGATAGCGCGCACCATCACCATCGTGGCGATGGCGATGGACGTGCCGACCCCTTACCACCACCACCACCATCGCCAATGCCTACGTTTGGCAAGCTATGTGTCATGAATATAGACGGCTTGGACCGCAATTTTATCGTCACTTATAACAATGGACTCAATGCCTGCCTATATATCATAAATCCAATTAACGCCTGTATTGTCTCGTATTGTATTCTAGACGTGTCGCACATTCACGATATGTATTGCATTGATAGCGATATATATTTGTTATACAACTTGAATGGAGACAAGAGATTAAAATTTGCCAAAATCTCGTTCTTGACGGCAGAGCAATGTCTTCAGCTGTTGGTCGAGAACAATGAGTACGTAAATGGAGCTAATCTTCTGGTAAAGCACATCCAGTATTTTAACGCAACCTATTGCAAGAATCAGCACAAGAGTCACCTGAAAATCGATAAGATTGTTGAGAAATTGTGGTCGGAGTTAGACACGGATCAGAGGGAACAGTACCATCAGATACAGCAACTGATCACAACGATAGGAAGTGATGAGAGCTCACTGGTTGATGAAAGTCAAGAAGTGTTTCTCAGTTCAATCGATTCAAACACTTCCGATCTGTACGCCAGACATACAAACGCCATGTATTTCGATACGGAATTGCTATACAGAGACGCGGCTATAGATGTGGTCGATATGGGGTTCAGTGAACTGAAAAAACTCAAAGACATTGTATTATCAAAGATCAATTCAAATCAAATTGATATGAAGAAGATTTTAGAGCCACCACTGCTCTCATTAGATAGGGACAGGCCTTTGAAACAAATGCTAAAACAAAGTAATGTTGTCCTTGAGAGCAAAGACAATCAAACTGATTATCAATCAATTGAAACAAATAACTTAATTCATAACAAACAGGATAATATGAAATCAGTTTTGCAAACCATGGAAAGTGAACTCAAAATGAGTGATACAATCAGCAAATATAAGTGTGAATGCGATTCACCGCTACCCGACTCGCACCGCAATCAATGCGAACTACAGGTGCGAATCCAACGGTTTCTCACGGATAACGCCGATTTGATGGAGTACTCTGTGAGCGATTTGCTGGACATCAGCCACCGTAACGCCATTTGGCCCCTATTTATGGACCTAATGATCAAATGCGGAGAATATGACAAATACTTAAAATACAGTCTTATGTTAAACGACGTGAAACTATTGGAAAACATTGAAAACTACTTATTCTCAGCGGAAAACTTCGAGCAACTATTGAAACACTTCGCGCGGCAAAGGGATCCGGGAAACGACCGCATCGTACGGTGCGCTCAGTGCGATAAACCCGTGCCGGATATCAACCAAAGTATTAGTTGGCAAACGATTATGAAATTCTGTATTAAGACGATTGGCGTCGAGGAGGCGGTCTCTCTATTACACAAATTCATTGATAGAAACCCATTGTTTTCCATTCATTTCTATTTATTACTGTTGAGAATGAGAATGATTTGTGTGAACCAGTCGTCGGTCACTCGCGATAAGCTCCACAATTTGATCACTCATTTGAATAGCGTATCGAAAGTGAAATCATCGGAAAGTCATACGAGTTTATCGTCAATTAATAGCGAGAAACACAGACAATGTCACGGCTTTAAGATTAGTATCTCGAAGCAAAAGTGTGGTAAATGTGACACCAATTTAATCAGAAAGTCATCGAAAGTTGGAGATAAAGGGAACGAAAAATTAGTCGCATTTCACTGCAAACATGTATTTCATAAGAATTGTCTCAATTCACGAAACCATTGCATTTTGTGTAACAAAGAATCGACTGTTAATCACTGAATTGTAATAATTATTACCAGTAATCTAATTACCGTATTTAATTAAGAAAACTTAACAGGGATATACAAACTAAATATACAAATTAAATAGAGTAATATCAAATTAGTCTTAATATATTAATTTTGATTTATTGTTATAATTAATTTGAAATAATTTTTTCAAAGTAAAGAATCGGTTCACAGAATGTAATTGTATTTTTAGTGGATTATCATATTTGACATGAATTGAGTTAACAAAACATTAGTTGACAAATATTTAGTGAATTAATGTTTACGATCTTTACGACGGAGTAATACTGTATTTTTGCATCTGGTTAAATTTAGTTTCACATTGAATTTTGTGGATCTATTCAATGACTCTATAATCGGTGCACTTATTTCTGGAGCAATATAGAGACTCAACGCCTGAATGTGTGGCAAATATGTGTCAATGGAGTCGAGGAATGTGGCGTTTACTGGGAAACCATTAAAATATAGCGTCAAATGTGTCAACCGTTTCAAATGAGACAATGGTTTGAGTGACAAATGATCACAACTTTCACTGTAATTGATTTCTGTTTGAATACATATAACCAACGATCGCAAGCCTTTGAAATAAGCCATCGCTTCATACAATACACTCACATCCATAGCGCTTGGATCAACTATTAAAACAGTTAATCGTTGTAAATGTTTGCATTGAACGCCAATTTGTTTGACACAAGCAATGGATATTTCACTATAAATCGCATACAGAGTCAATCGTCTCAAAGCCTGTAATTTTGACAAATCATTCAATTGCTCCGTCGGTTCTTCGCAAACTACATCATAAGACTTGAGACGATGTCTGTAGTGATCGACAAATGTGGTAAAGAGTGGCAAATCTTCTTCCATATAATTGCATTTAAATTGAGTCAAACTCTTAACAATCAGTTCATTGGTTTCATTGAATAGTATAGACAACGGGAACTCCGCTAAAGAAGTTTTAGAAAGGCATCGAAGTCTTGTGTATGACTTGTTGTGTGATTTAAACACATTTATAGCCGATTGTGGTAATGATATTGAAGTGAACAGTGAGCCATATTCGCCGAGAATTGTGTCCACTATTGAGACATCGATTTCATCACTGAATCGGACGTCAATTGCATTCAATGAATGACTCATTAAACTCATGAGTACTATGAAGACTACTTCAGTCGCTTTAGAAGTGATTGTCATTTGAATGGATCTAATGTTTGCACATTTGTTGGTCACTGACAGCAATGCTTTCATATTGATGTCTCGAATCTTAGAGTTGTCTATTATTCCCCACTTCTTCAGCAGTTTATTGTCGACCACAAGAGTGTGTCGTTTCGCAAACACTGATCGCTTCCACTGTTTGGACAGACATTCAAATCGGAAACAGTCTTCGAGTGACAGGTAAGACAATACGAGTCCACACAAGTCATCGCCATATCTGTCGAAACAGTCCTTTCGATAGCATTCCTCTTCAGTGGACTTCATATCAATGGATGAGATCTTTGGCTATAAATAAGTGAAATGAATACAAAATAATGCAATGAATGAGTGATTGACACAAAAGTCATATCAATTACAAACCCTTTTAACCAATTGTTGGCATTCATTGTCTCCCTCTTCAGCCATCACTTCATTCAATCGTTTCGTGAATACAATGCAAAACTCAAACCAAAAGTGAATTAAATATTGAAAACAAAAATCAAATCAATTTTGAAAAGAGTTTTCAATTTTAAAAAATGCACTCAATTTGCGGGCAATGGACTCAACACTAATAACGTAATAATTATGACTTTCATTACAAACTTGAAAATATAAACTTTTTATTTAAACATTATTTCACTATTAATATTAAAATTAAATTATAATTCATATGAGAGAACACGTGTGTGTCAATGGATTTAATTTAATTAAAATGACATTAAATTTTTGTAAAAATTAATTTTCGTGTGAATATGTAATCATTAAAAAGTATAACTTAGAAAATAAATGAGAGACAAAACTAAACTCGATTACAAAAATTTCAAAATATAA